AAAAATGGTAGAGGGTGAATGAGAAATTGATTCTCAGAGTTAACCCGTTAATAAAAGAATATGGTGAGGATTGCAATTTTTGCAATTTTACTGAACCAATCTTCTTTTATTAATTTTACGTATTGTTTAAAATTAGTCCATTTTTACGGAGTTAACTGGCCATTAATCTCCAATTATTCGGGACAAATTTTAAACGGAGCGTAGTGTAACGGACCTGTTAATGGCTAATTAATCACCATTAACACACCACAAATGCCATGTTTAATACTAAGCCTTAATGGTGTGTAGGTTACACCTTTTAAAATAGCTTTGTGTGTGCTTCACGTGAGAAACAAAAGAGAAAAGAAAGGAAATCTTTCTTGTTTATTTTTGAGAGAGCTCTTGGTTTTCCGGCCAAATTTCCGGCCATTCCCTTTAAAGTTTTTTTTTGGTCGTCAACGTTCCTACGTTGTTCTTGTTCGTTGGTGTGTGGTTGGTCCGTACAATCTCCACACACGATAGCGGTTTTATCCTGGGAGGAGAGTGCCCACGTTTTTCCAGTACGGTAGGCGGGCACTACTCCCTTAAGGATAGCTCCGGCGACTCCGCTGTCCTTCCACTGTGTTGTTTTTTGCAGGTTCAGTTCATAAAGACCTCGCTGCATTCTGGCCTAGTGCATAATGTCCTCGCAGCCCAGTGCATAATGTCCTCGCACCCCTGTGCATAACGTCCTTGAATCGTTGTCCAGTGCTTAAAGACCTCGCTGTCCAGTGCTTAAAGACCTCGCTGTCCAGTGCTTAACGTCCTCACTCTCCAGTCCTTAATGTCCTCGTACAACAAGGCCGTTTGAAGATATAGCAATTTATTTTCAACTTTGTTTATTTTGTAATATTCTGAATAAATTATAAATTCAGAATTTTATTTATTTTTATTTTCCGGGGCCGTTCATCTTCCCCGTCCGTTGTAATCCGTACAAGAATTGTAACAGTCTTAAGGTAGTAGCCATATCCGTGCGCAATGGCGGGTATGGACGGATTCGGTTTTGACGCTCACACCGGAAACGGGAGTAGTTCCGAGACTCCGGTTGTGAACGTTTCAGCTAGATTGGGTGGCTCTGTTGGGCAGACCACTCCGGTCAACATTCCTTTCGGATCGAGTGCGGCCATGGGGTCCACTCCGATCACCACCTTCGTTGGATCGAGCGCGACTATGGGGTCCGCTCCGGTCACCTCGGTTATTGGACCAACCGCGGCTACGGCCGCAATGGTCACCCCACTCGGACCGAATATGGCTTCGGCCATACCGGTCATTCCCTCACTTGGACCGAACACGGGTGTCTTCACATCCGCACCGGTCGGACATCCTACTGTCATGCTGCCCGCGAACTCTGTCAAAGAACCGGCAAAGTTCACAGGTGTTGGATTTAAAATATGGTAGCAAAGGATGTTATTTTGGCTGACCACCCTCAACCTTGCGAGGTATTTGAGGGAGGATCCCCCTGTTGTGGGGGAAACCGCGGATGAGCCAACAGTTCAGGCTAAAGAGGCATGGATAGCGAATAACTATACGTGCCTTAACCTTATCCTGAATTGCTTGAGCGATGCCTTATATGCTGTTTATAGCAGGGCTGCATCCGCAAAGGAGTTATGGACTACACTGTCCAACAAATACCAGGCCGAGGACGCCGGTGCGAAGAAATTCGTAGTCGGTAAGGTCTTGGATTTCAAGATGGTGGATTCCAAACCCGTGGTCAGTCAAGCTGAAGAATTGATTCTCATTTTTAATGAGTGCACTGACGAGGGAATGGGGTCAGTGAGGCATTCCAAGTGGCGGCGATTATTCATGTGCTCCCGCCAGCTTGGGATGAGTTCCAGAGCTATCTCAAGCTCAAACGGAAAGAAATGACTTTAGAACAGTTGCTTGTTCGTCTCCGGATCCGTGAAGAGGGTCTCACTCGCGAGAAAAAAGTAGCTGTTGCTAAGGCCAATGTGGTGGAGCATCCACCCAAAGAGGGTTCTTCCAAAGGGCCCAAGCCAAATAAGGACAAGAAGAAAATTGGTCCTAAAGGAGGCGTCGCGAAGCCCAAATTCACGGAGAAATGCTACAACTGTGGCATTACGGGCCACCGTTCTTCAGAGTGCCGCAAGAAGCCTCAGAAGAAGAAGCAGAAGAAGGAAGAAGCTCTCTTCTCGGAGCTAGATGCTATGGATCTTTGTGCTGTCGTGACAGAGGTCAACCTGGTCAGGTTTAACCCGAAAGAGTGGTGGGTTGACACTGGAGCCACTCGTCATATCTGCTCCAATCGAGCCATGCTCTTTGACTTTAAGGAGACTTCTGGCGACAAGGTGTGGATGGGCAACTCCACCCAATCCGAGGTTCAAGGCGTGGGCAAAGTTAAGCTCAAGATGACATCCGGCAAGGAGCTCACGCTGAATGATGTGTTGTATGTGCCGGACATACGGAAAAACTTGGTGTCAGGCTCACTATTGAACAAACATGGATTCCGCATGGTGTTCAAGTCTGATAAGCTGATCTTGAGCAAAAAGGGAATATTCATAGGCAAAGGTTATATTTCTGATGGGCTTTTTAAGCTTAATGTACTCACTGTTGTTGAGAAAATTAATAAAACTCCTGTTGCCTATGTTTGTGAGTCCTCCAATGTGTGGCATGGAAGACTAGGACATGTTAATTATGCATCTCTTCGGAAATTAATTAACATGGAATATATCCCTAAGTTTGACATCGACCAGTCCCACAAATGTGAGACGTGTGTCGAAGCAAAGTCAACGCGAAGTTCGTTTCAAACAATTGAGCGAACCACTCAGCCACTGGATTTAATTCACACGGATCTGTGTGATTTCAANGAAACCTTCCTATAAATACCTGAAAGTGTGGGGGTGCCTTGCAAAAGTTTTAGCACCACCACCAAAGAAAATAAAGATTGGTCCAAAGACCGTTGATGGAATCTTTATTGGCTACAGTGGTAGCGCGTATCGATTCTTAGTGTATAGGTCTGATAATCCAGAAATACATAAGAACACGATAATGGAATCGAGGAATGCAACATTCTTCGAAAATATATTTCCGTTAAAGTTGAGGGAAGAAGCGAGTTCTTCCAAACGTTCACATGATGAAATGTTGAACGATGGTTCCTCGGATCAGTCTAATACCGGTATAATTGATGAAACCGAAACTGAGACTGAACTAAGACGAAGTAAAAGGACACGGACTAAGAAGTCCTTTGGTAATGATTTTCTAACTTATTTGTTGGAATTTGAATCGGGGACTCTATCATTTCTGATAGAGACTGAACGCGATATTCTAACATGTTTATTAGAAAATGAACCACGAACTTATCGTGAAGCAGTGACTTCGTCTGAAGGCCCTCAGTGGAAAGAGGCAATTAAAAGTGAAGTTGATTCTATTATGCAGAATCACACTTGGGAGTTAGTGAATCTACCTCCTGGGTGCAAACCGTTAGGTTCTAAGTGGATCTTTCGGAGGAAAATGAAACCAGATGGTTCCATTGATAAGTACAAAGCAAGACTTGTAATTAAGGGTTACAATCAACGTGAGGGCTTTGATTATTTTGATACATATGCCCCTGTGTCAAGGATAAATTCCATTAGGATGATACTTGCAATAGCTTCCTTACGGAAGTTAGAAGTACATCAAATGGATGTGAAAACAACTTTCCTTAATGGAGATCTAGAAGAAGAGATCTACATGGAACAACCAGAAGGGTTTATAGTTCCTGGTCAAGAAAGGAAAGTTTGTAAACTCGTTAAGTCATTATATGGTCTTAAACAAGCGCCAAAAGTATGGCATGAGAAGTTTGACCAGGTAATGATGAACTCTGGGTTCAAAACTAATGAATCAGACAAGTGTGTTTATCTAAAAAAACACATCCCAAGGGTATGTCATGTTGTGTCTATATGTAGACGACATACTCATAGTTGGTAGCAATGACAAGATGGTCAAGTCTACCAAAGACATGTTAAACTCGCGATTTGACATGAAAGATATGGGTCTGGCTGAAGTAATTCTTGGAATTAAAATTGTGAGAAGACCTGGGGGTCTAGCACTGAGCATATCCCATTATATTGATAAAATCCTTGATAAGTTCAACAAGGATGACGTTAGAGTAGCAAAGACGCCGTTGGACGTCAATGCACACCTGGCTAAAAATCGAGGTTCCAGTAACTCTCAAATCGAGTATGCAAGAGTTATTGGAAGTTTGATATATCTAAAGAGTTGCACTCGACCAGATTTAGCCTGTGCCATAAGTAAGCTGAGTAAATACACCAGCAATCCGAGTGATGAGCACTGGAAGGCTATTGTACGTGTGATGAGATACCTGCGTGTTGGGAAAAATATTATAGATTTTGATGATGATGTATTTAGAATGTATTAGGGACTTTAGGTCTACCCCAATATTCAATGTAATTTTTCTTTTTAGAAATATTGTCAAAACCGAGCTCTTGAGATTTCCAATAAAAGCTGTGATATTTCTTTAAGCGTTTTGATGCCTGAAGACTTAATCAAATTCAGTGATATGGAAATCGGATATCTTGTTCGGAAATGTCAGAGACAAGTAAGGATTTCTCAAGCAAACGAAAATCCTCTGATCCGGAAGACTACATAAGAACTGGATGTCTCGCTACAACCCGCTGAAGTCTAAGTCATCCAAATCAGAAGACTAGCACGGATCTCTTTCTCACCCGGAAGTCTAAAAATGACTCATCCGGATTTTTCAGCTAAGAATCGGAAGACTCACTGAAGACCGGAATTCTCAGAAAGCGGACAAGTGAGAAAAGACATAGAAAAATTATCTAAGTCCTGAATGAAGAAATTCTACCCGTTGGTAAGGAAAAATCAATCTTTGATTTTCAACGGCTAGATTGAAGATAATTATGCTGATTCAAGAACAAATGACTCGAAGACAAAGTCTGGCCCTCTAAATTGAAGAGCCTGTCCAGAATTCCTAAACAAGCACAAGAAGACAAACAGAGTAAAGTGCTACAGTTCAGAATTCTTGAACAACAGCTAGAAGACGGATTCTGAGAAAAATGGAATCACTTCTCAAACAATTGGGTATGTCCAAACACCCACTTCAACGAAGAATCTTCAAATCACAATCTTCATTCAAAATTGAAGCCAGCAAATGCAAC